GCAACCGCTGAGCAACCCGGGACCCCCTCATGAACAGCCGAAGACGGGACCACAGCCGCAGTAACACTTCTGGAGGGAAAGACAAGGAGTGGCCCAATAGCCCTAAACAAGGTCCAGGTCCGAACCCAGGACGGAAACAGATGGAATGGCCTCCAGATCACCAGGAAACCAAACCCGGCAATCTGGAAAGAACCACACCCCTGGCGAGCAGACAAGCAGACCGACTGGGAGCCCACACCAGCCAGTCGTCGAGGTAGGCCAGACACCGAATCTCAAGCAGACTCAGACAGGGCACTAAGATCCGGTGAAGATGCAAAAATACACCAAGTGCCAATTACAAAATAGGGAAGGCAACAAAAGCAGCAAGCCTGAAGCCCCACCACCAACTGTGCCAGTCCCAGAAAACTGGAGAGGAACGTGAAAAGAAGTGACCTGGAGGTCCAGGGCCACCATCCAGGCACCCGGCCCCAACAGAAGTAGGACAGGAGACAACAGTCCTCCGAGGAGGTCATAAAATCCAGGGCGCAGACTGAAGAAGTCCAGAAGAACCGCAGATGCGAAAGGCCTATGACTGCAAAGAGTAGACTGGAACCCCAGAAGGATGGGGCAGATCGACCACGTCCAACGCACCCACTAAGATGACATGACGAAGTGCACGGGAAGAAGCCCACCCCGCCAGCTCTGAACCCCCCCAAAGGGGGAGAAGCCGTCCACCGACGCCACCAGAGGCCGGAAGACAACCAAAAGCGCCCACCAACAGCGGGACCATGCGAGAGTCAACAGAGCAAGCGGCCCCCCCCAGCGCCCCGTCAACAGAGAAGGGAACAGAGCCCCTTCCATAAGAAAAAGTACACATACACATATACACATTATGTATATACACATACATATACATATACACACAAGGTATGTTACACACACGTGTGTATACACATGTGCACACACACGCAGCGTACACATGTACATGCATACACACACACACACATACACTATAAAAAGAAAAGTACAAGTCGCCGACCAGTGGGCAGAGAGCACCATGCCGGCCAGGCAAAGAAGGCACAAAACTGCATCAAAAGGCCCACTTCGACAACAAAACCTCAAAGTCCCAGCACGACCACAACATGTGCCAAGACCCAAAAAGATCATTCTGCAAGCCAGGAAGACCCCGGTACTCCAGAAGGCAGAACCGGGTCACACGAGGAAACAAAGCCCCCTGAACCCACAAAGGGGGCCCAAGAGGAAGAAACCTCCAGAACGAAACCAAAGAACCCAAAGGAACAAGGAATCGAACCAAGGGGAGCCCAAACCACCACATTTGCCGGCGGAGAACACCACAGAAAGGCAAAGCACAGCCCCCAGACAGAACCCCCAGGGAAACGGACATAACAGACCAAAAACCGAGGGACAAAGTGTGGGAGCAAGCATAACAGCCAGGGACACTGAGCCCAAACCCAAGGGCCCCAGACCCAAAACAGACAAAAAGGGAAACCTGGTGTAAAATCAACACCCAAACATTCCCAGAAGAACAGGAAACAGGCAAAAAACACCAGAAAAGCAAAGAAACGACAACAGGAGAATAAAACCCCTGAAAAAAGGTGAAAACTCACCCAAGAAGCTCGCTCATACACCCAGGCGCATGTAAACAAACCGCAACGCCGCCCTGGTGGCCACGCCGGAAAACAGGCAGATGAAAATAGCAGCCAGAACAGAGGACTGTGACCGACGCTAAAGATACGAAAACACGCCAGCAAAAGTGGAAAACAAGCAGACTGGATGGGCGAAAAACTCCGCCCAAAAGCAGAAAACCCAGGCAGGGGCAAACTGCCAAAGAACTGCTAGCAGGCATCCCCCACAGCCCCGGGAACCAGCAACAGAGGCCCTGGGGCAGAGCCGTCCTCCAAGCCCTCCACCCTTAAAGAAAAGGAAGAGTCCATGGGAAAGGCAGCAGGAAAGGGCCGCTGGTAAGACCCAGAATCCTTGGCAGAAGGAACAGGCTCGAAAACCTCCGTCCCCCAACCCGAACGGGGCAGCCCCCAAAAACCGCCGAGTCTCGGCCCCAACTAAACCCCGCCCCGACCCCGAAACCCGCAGACGGTCTGGAGCTGGGAACAGGGAGGGAAAGGGGCGAACAGCACCTAACCAAAACGGGGCGGCCTCGGGGCGTCCGAATGGGAAACCAACCTAGCATGATGCAGCAACCTAACCTAGCTTGCAACACGGATGCCGCCTGTACTGTGAACAGTAATAACATCAGGAGAGTACTGGAGAACAAGCAGAGAATCTCTCGCAAGACTCCGGGTCTAGGTGTCAGTGACCCAACAGGCAGCATGACGGAGGTAAAAGTGGCGACTGTCACCCGGAGACAAGGGCACAGCAACCAACGATCCCGTACAAGACGGGTTGGAACCCGGAAGACACATTCAATGGTCCCCCGAGCCCAGACAGGGGTTTCCAGGGCCCGTAGGCTGACTGCTACGGGAAGCCTGGGCAAGGTGTTGCTAACTGGTTAAGAAACCCAAACATAACAAGAGGGTAGAGAATAGCACTGAAAACCCCTGCGATGTGTACAATCACGGGGGCCTAGCAGAGGGCCGCCAAACACTACCAGTGGAACTATAGCCACACTGGGCAGACCCCCACCAGGCATGAAAATAAAAACAAAAGAAAAACCCCGCAAAAGTACACCGTCTCCAGAGGCAACAGGAACAGGTCGCCGCTTAGGTAGCAGGCTGTGCAACACCTTGACGCTCTAACCAGCACAATACCAATCCCTACCCAGGGCCAAACAAGGGCCCCCAGCCCCAGCTGGCCCCAAGGGCGAGGCAAATGCTGAGCAGCAAGAACCTCTACTGCAATGGTTCCCGAACACCCTAGGGAAGATAACCCTGTTACGCAAGGGCAGTACTCACAGGGCGCTTAGGGAAGTCAGCCACTAAGCGCATGCAGCCCTGGCACTGATGAGGTACTCCTGGCCACCGCACAACACAACACACGGCAGTGAACGCCACACAAGGCAAACACCACCTAGGAAACTGAGACCAGAGAAACGTCTATCACGGTTGACATTAGCTTACGAACTGTAGCTTGGCAGCCGGCGCGGTAGGTCCGGGGCTCCCCCCTCCTCCTCTCGGGGCGGGGAGGGCTGCGCGGACGATCGGCGCGGCAGTAAAGTGTGATGTTTGCTTGTTTCCTTGTGATTGTAGGGAGTTTCTACCTCTGTGTTCAGTTTTTTGTTTAAGTTTTTTACCATGTGGGGTGTGTTTTGTTATGCCTACCTTTCTGGGTGCCTAACCCCAGTTGATGGCAGATAAGGAAAACCCCAACCACAAAGGGTTTTCCAGGGCCATTGCTCCCTGAAACCTCTCTGAAGGGGCCAGGTTCTGGCGCTGGTCCCTGGTAGGTCTGAACTCCTTAGCTAATATCCCGGTCTAATATAACATACATTAACCCCATTAGCTCCAGGAAGCCGTAGGGGCTCCCCACAGAAAAAGTGGATGTGAGCGTTGTCCACAGCCATCAATACTGCTAATATAACTAGGGTAAGGGAAACAAGGCAGACCCCCCCACCAGGCAGAAACAAAAAGAAAAAGAAAAACACTACAAGAGGGCAACGTATCCAGGACGAACAAAGCCGGCCGCTGTAATAGGTGAAAACTAGCTGCGCAGTACCCTGCGCCCCCACCAGTGCAAAAACTACCACTTACCCCAAGATAAACAAGGGACAAAAACCCCCAACACACTTGGGGCAGTCAATCACCGAGCAGCGAAAGATCAACAGAGATAGACCCCAAGGCGAGTTGTGGAAGATAACCCCAAGCATCAAGGGCGGTACTTACAGGGCACTCAGGGAAGGGAACCCAAAGCACATGCAGCCTGAGTACTTGTGAATATTACTCCTAGCTTGCACGCCACCGTAATAGCAGTACTGAGGTTATCTTGAGGTTATCTTGAGATGATTTCGGGGCTTTTAGTGTCCCTGCGGCCCGGTCCTTGAACAGGCCTCCACTCCCAGGAAGCAGCCCGTGACAGCTGACTAACACCCAGGTACCTATTTTACTGCTAGGTAACAGGGGCATAGGGTGAAAGAAACTCTGCCCATTGTTTCTCGCCAGCGCCTGGGATCGAACCCAGGACCACAAGTCCCGCGTGCTGTCCGCTCGGCCGACCGGCTCCTCTGACTGTGCCTTACTAAACCTAAGGCACAGCACAACACAAGAGAATCTGGAACTGGAGCCACATGACCATGCCACAATCACATCAGCTCAGAACTGGAGGGTGAATCGCCAGCACGGTGGATCTGGGGCTCCCCTTTCCCCTGCCTGGGAGTGGGGAAGCTGCGCAGACATGTGGCGTGGCTCGTGTGATGAAATGCTCATTTGCTCATTTTCATTTGGGGAGTTCTGTCCACTCGTTTCTTTCTTTTAGTCGTTTTAACCAGAATAGGGGTTCATTTTGAGGTGCTTACCTTTCTGGGTGCCTGGCCTTGAGGTTACCTTGAGAGGTTATCTTGAGATGATTTCGGGGCTTTAGTGTCCCCGCGGCCCAGTCCTCGACCAGGCCTCCACCCCCAGGAAGTAGCCCGTGACAGCTGACTAACACCCAGGTACCTATTTTACTATTTTACTGCTAGGTAACAGGGGCATAGAGTGAAAGAAAATCTGCCCATTGTTTCTCGCCGGCGCCCGGGATCGAACCCGGGACCACAGGATCACAAGTCCAGCGTGCCGTCAGCTCGGCCGACCGGCTCCCAATGGTCAATGGCAGACACAGAATGCTCCAAATCCCATTTGAAGCATTTCTATAGGCCATTGCTCCCCATGTCTCTCTGAGAGGGGCCAGGTTCTGGCTCGTGGTCCCCGGTAGGCCTAGAACTCCATACACACTGACTGATGCCAAAGTCTAATGATATCCATATCAGCCTGGATAGCTCCGGGGAGTCGAAGAGGCTCCCCCCAGAAAACCTAAGTTAATTATTTTATAACAAATACAGTATTTCTTACTAGGTAGTACTGAAGTTTTGAGGCGAGTTGGAGTTGAATGTATGAAAGCTTTGCCTGCACTCCTCCTGGTTTCCATGTTTTGCTGTATCTCCTTCTTCACGATTATGCTGCCCTTTTCTGAGCTTTGATCATCATCAAACACATTAATCTGAAAGTTGTGAAACTATTATACAGTACTGCATAATCATTACCATCAACTATTGTAAATTGTATTCAGACACCTTTTCCTTAGACTGGCAGCTTTCTCAATTTGCAACATGCCTGGAAAAAGTTGTCCAATAAGTAAGTTCTGTCCACATAAGTCATTCGGTTCTGCACAACAGCTCTGTCTCGGTCAATTGTCCTGAGGTATCACATGCATGGCTCTCATACACACTGAACCAGCACATACATGCAAGGCTGTGACCCAATGCTGTATTTGTGTGGTGTAGGCCTTGACTCATCTTCTCCCATTCCTCATACATGCGCGGAGCTTCAATATGCGCGAGTTGCCACAAATATTTCTTTGTTCATTTTTTGAGTACATTTCCAAAAACATTTGTTTTCTTTTTTCTTGCCAATCCTATGTATAATGAACACGTACACAATATTATGGCAGTAGAACATCGGTACTGTCCCAAGACAGTGTTATATGTCTCTCAAATGTGTCCACATATATTGCTCATATATATCCAATGTTTCATGTTCATTTATGTATATTTACAACATATTTACACTATACACTATCACACACTATATACATTCACCATCAACACACTCAGAACTCCGCGAGTATGAGCTGTCACTCCCAGCCAGCCCTCCCTCACTCCTCCAACACCTAGCTTACTCCTTACACCTTACTCGCCAACATTGCTCCTCCCACCATACTGTTGTTTTTATTACACTATTACACTATGTATACATATCTACATGTTTTATTCACCATAACTATGCAAGCAAGCCGGTATTGTGTCCAAACAGCATAGTGGCCACCATACACTGCATGAGAAATCACACAGCAGCCAGCAGACAACGCTACAAGTACAACAGCCACCTCCCTCACCAAAATGGCTCCTCCCAATATACTCCTGTTGCTGTTATTACACTATATACACATTGTATATACCCATGTAGATATGTGTTCACCATAGTGAACCACTAAGCTAGTATAGTGAGCAAAACAAGAGTGGCTGCCACACACAGTGACGCTATCTGGATTTCCTCCCTCTCTCACCAAACTTACCTTTCTCTAAAACCTGTAAATGAATAATTGACCATAAGTTTATTTGGTAAAGTAACATCTGAAGTTGTTTGAAGATTCCTAGATGGACGAAATAATGCTGTGATGCCGTGGCTAGCGCTGTGAACATCGTGAACAGCATTGATTCACTGATATTTGAACATTGTGCACAGTCATTATCACACTCAAGGGCTTTCTGTAATACTATCATAGCTAAATAATACCAGTTATAGATATATTTTCACATTATTAGGAGATGCTGTGGTCACAAGCTGAACAGCAGTACTGTGACCTCATGCTGCGTTCGCCAGCCTCGGTTGCTCACTCAGTACTGAGGCATCACACCTAGGAATGTTGCCCACAATTTTTTTTTTAAATGGCGTCTGTTTACAAGAGCCCTGAGGAAGCTAATGTAAACCCCATTTAGCCGCGGGAGTTTTGAATCATACACTAAAAATATAAGATCCCGGAGGTGAGTTGCGCACCCCCCGTCGAGCGCCTGCGGGCGCATTGTGCAGTTCAGTGGTTAATAAATGGGGAAGTTTATTTTAGTTGAATTTCCTAGTGTATGGAAAGGAATCAATAACTGATTACTGGAAACATCAACATGTTTCCTTTTCATTGGTATGCTGATCCTCTGTAATTATTCTTACCACCGAAACTGAATCCTTCCATTGCATCTGATCTTCCACTGGACTGGATGCTGCTGAAGAGGGACTCCACTTGATCTGCAAACAATACAGCTAAAATATAGTATACCTTTAATTTAAGATTTTTTTATTAGTTTACAAATCTTTCTTGAAGCCTATGTATAGTATTAATGGAACCAAAAGAGCATTTTACTGTAATACAACAACTTGTCCAAAATGCTATGCAAGGAAGTCATGTACAAATAAAATACAATCATTGTATAGAATAGTAGTCTTGCTCAAACAGATTCATACTGGAACCTTTCAGCACAAAACAATGGTTGTAGGTCAAAATTTTGTAACTGAATGCCCAACTTTATGTATTTCTGACTAAAAATTATAAAACATGCTTTTGTACACATTTCAGAGCAAAATTTGCCAGGAAATTTTTTTATATGTTTTATTGAATTTGTTTACATTTTTGACACCATATACAATACATTACAGTATTGAATGTGGACTGCCAACACTGAAAGTCTTTCATTATTTTCTGCTGTAACCGATCACAATGATCTTAGGACAAACAAATCCTTCTATTTCATCTGGACTTCCAGTGCACCATTTGAATGAGATTCTATTGTACTGTATTACTGTAGCACAGTGAGCTACATTGCTGGCTCACAACCAAGGGTCCCGAGTGTGATTCTAGTAGTGGGACAAACGTTTAGGCAACTTTTCTTTTAACCTGAAGTCTCTATGCACCTAGCAGTAAATAGGTGCCAGGGAGTTTGACAAATGATGTGAGTTGCATCCTGGGAAAGACCAGTAGTTGATCAGTAGAACCCCAGGAGGGAAAAGAAAACGCAGGACCAAAACAAAATACCACAAGCGTGCAAGTTCACCGCCACAAGTGCAGCCAACACGGAAGGAACCCGCATAAGGAGCCGCCCCGCACCAACATCCCGCAGAAGGGCAGGAGCGAAAAGACTCATTAAGAGGAGCAAAACTGCCCCCAGGAAAACGAGTAGTGCCGAGACAGCGCGAAGAGAAGAGATATGCACAAAAGAACAAGAAGGCCAAACACCCAGAAGCTGCCGGGAATAGGACCCACAAGCCCTAGAAAGGACCAGAAGGAAGCTCAACCGAATGACGACAGACGTACCAGAAAATGGGAAGGAGCAAAACCATCCCAAACCTTCGAGAACAAAAAGAAGCAAACACAAAGTACGAAGGCACAAAAACCCCGTCGCACCCGAGACCAAAAGTCATGCAGAAACCCCAAGAAGAGGGGGACATGACGGAGAAGGCCCGTCCCGGAAAAAAGGGGCGAAGATCGTAGAAAAGCACCCACCTACAGGACGGGAACAATGGACAAAGAAACCAAGCCCAGGGAGGGGCCGACGCCCACAAAGCACGTGCGGAGAGGAGGAACGGAAAAACCCCACACCACAAAATCACAAGCCCCGCCCAGAGGGGTAGAAATACCCCGGCGGGGACCAATGGGGCCCGAGGCCCCTCATGTTAGCCCCACCCCAGCCCCGGGAACCCACCCTGCAGGCCCCGGGGCCGAGCTGTCCCCTCAAAGCCCCAGCATCAAGAAAAACCCCGGGGCAGCCGTGAAAAACACTAAGGAAGGGAGCCCACTAGGCTCTGGAACTTGAACTGAAACCGGAAGATAGGCGAGGGGCGAGACGAAGACCCCAAACTCATCCCCAGCCAGCACAACGAGGCGAGGACAAGACAGAGAATCCAAGGAACATGGAAAACCCAGGCCTGGCACAGCAAGACCAGCAAGGAAGGAGGGCCCCAGAAGGAGCACGGAAGGGTCGAACATAATGCCACAACCAACCCCGACACGTAGCTGCAGTACCAAAACCGCAGCAAAACGTCACCACACTCCCCGAGGAAGCAACAGAGAAGATAAATAAATTGTACACGAGTGGCACACAAGGGGACACAGGCGGAAACCGAGCACCCAACTGAGCCACAGGGCTAGTAGAAGAAACGTGTCCAGTGTAACAGGCAATAGAAGGAACACATTAGGCAGCCCAACGTGGGCTGACCCCATACACAGCCCCAAGAGCAGAGACGAGAGCGCCCATGAAGCACAGAATCCGCTCGATAGGCAAACGACAGGGGAAGAGGCGGAACCAAAGAGCCAGAACCCAATCCTGCAAGCAGAAGGAGGCGAGCACAAAACACCCTCGACACAGGAAATGTACCACCGAACAGGCACCCCCACCGTTGCACTGCGGAACAAGGTGGAGGCGGGGCCCCGAACGCAAGCAAGGTTAGACAAGCATAGGAGAGGGGCAGGAGTAGTACAGGCAGGAGCCGTCTCGGAAGGGCCAAGAGGCCACCCGCAGACACCCGTGAACCGAGGAAGGAATCAGGTGGAGAGAACAAGAGCTGCCCAGTATGGGCTAATAGCCCTGCAGTAGGCACCTCGGCTGATATGGTCCACGTTCTCAAGTACACCCATTCCTACTTCCAAAAACAAAAACAGCGTCAAGACGAAGGAGACGCCAAACTGCACCAACTCACCTGCAGAACATAGGCGCTGAAGGGCCATGACATAAGCTTTCGAGTCCGCAGCCGCTGGAGGCGGCCAGGGCGCCCATGCTGGAGAGGAGGGGAGCGGCGAAGGAGGCTCCCCACCCTAGAACGCAGGGAAAAAACCTCGTGACTTCCCCACAACGGCACCCCCAAACCAACGGGGCACGGATTGGATTAAGAAAAGAGCGAGAGGTGAATCGTAGAGCTCCAAGCGAGCCGAATCCGACGCAACATAACCCACACTGCCGCAAATTCCTGCACAGTACTGTGAGCCCGACGGAAGGATGGAGCCCACCGCCCCTGGCCAGCCTGGTAAGCACTGGTCACAAAACCCCAACCGAGAGAGAGGAGGCATCCGTGAACACATCGAGACAGGGCTCCGGAAGGTGCCAAGGCACCAAACCCCGAAAAGCCAAAAGAAGAAGTTGACGATGCTGTAGTCTACACAAGGCCCGCGAGGGACGAACCCAGCAATCGCAAGATGGCGGAAGGGATGATCCCGAAGGAACCAGAACAGATGCCGCAACCAAACGCAGCCCAGTGGGTAAACGATGACAACGAGTTCACACTACTGCACAGCTGCTCGAGCAACTGCCGAGTGACCAAGGACCCCCGCAGAAACAGACAACGACGAGACTGCAGCCGGAGGGAAAGACAAGGACGCTGTCTGGGAATCCCAAATAAGACCCCAGACAAATCCGAACCTGAAACAGAACCAGATGGGACTTCCACCAGTTCATCAGTAACCTGAACCCGGCAAGCTGGGAAAGAACCAAACCCAGGATAGCAGACACGCAAACTGTCTGGGAGCCCAGACCAACCAATCATTGAGGTAGGCCTAAACCCGATCACCTAGAAGATGCAGACAGGCCACCACGACCTGGATAAGATGTGTGAAAATGGGAGGGTGCCAGATTCAGCCCAAGACGCAACGAAACTGGTAAGCCTGATGCCCCACCACAAAACCTAACCAGTCCCTGAACCCCGGATGAATGAGGAGGTGCCAATACACGTCCCGGATGTGCACACACACACTCCAAGAACCCGGCTCCAAGAGAAGCCGGACCTGGAACAGAGTTGTCATTTGAAAGGAGGGGCAAGGAATCCAGGGGTTCAGATGGAACAAGTCCAGAATGAACCGCAGATCCACACAGTCCTGTTTTGGCACTGGAAAAATGCAGGAAACCCACCTGAGGGACAAGGTCATTTCGACCACGCCCAAGAGCACCCACTCCAAGATAACCTGACAAAGCGAAGGGGAAGAAGCCCAGCGCCACAGGGTGACCCGCGAAAGGGCCAGCGACCCTTCCGAGAACCTGACTTACGTACAAAGTGAACACTGCGCCGATCAGACGAAAATGGTTCCAGAGCAGGCGCCAGCTCAGAAACTGGCACCATAGACCCACCTCGACCAGCAGATACCTGAGGCCTGGCATGACCCCTCTGGGAAGTATGAGAACGAGCACCCCGGACAACCAACATATCCGAAAGAGAGCAGCAACTAGCTGAAGCCGCCTAACTGAGACACAGCAGAGTCCGCAAACAACTGCAGGCAAAACAGAGACGAAAATCTAAGAGCCAGGGGCCCAAGCAGAATCCACAGAGAAAGCGAGGATAGCCTGCCGATACCCGAGGCGAGAGGCATAAAACAAGGACACAGCCTCCCAGAGGATAGGTGCAGACAGGATAGGTGCAAACTGCTTAACCACCGTGCTGCGCCGATGCAGCAAGGGCCTCTTGAACCTCCACAGGGGAATTCGAGAGGTAGAAAACCTGTGGAAGGACGCAGCCGCAGAATCCAAGGGAACCCGGAAACGAACTCAGAGAGGAGCCAATCCTATATCAAATTCGTACAAGGAATGGGAGTATGAAAACCCCGAACCTTACAACAGCAGACCCTGCCCCAAAGGCACTAAAACCCCAGGCAGGATCGAAAGGGTCCCAAGCGCCCCAGGCCATCTCCACCCCCAAGCCCCGGAATCCTCCAAACAAGGATCCAAGGCAGAGCCGACCTCAATGCCCTCCACCCTTGATGAAAAGGCAGAGTCCAAGTTAAAGGCATCCAAGAAAGGGACCTGCAGGAAGAACCCAGAAGCCTCGGCGGGAGGAATCAGCTCGAATGCTTCCGTCCCCGCCTCGAATGGGGCAACCCCATTCGGTAGTTCGGTAGTACAAGGGAGCTGGCGGCAGAGCGGACAGAACACTGGACGCGTGATCCTGTGGTCCCGGGTTTGAACCCGGGCGCCGGCGAGAAACAATGGGCAGAGTTTCTTTCACCCTGATGCCTCTGTTACCTAGCAGTAAATATGTACCTGGGAGTTAGTCAGCTGTCACGGGCTGCTTCCTGGGGGTGGAGGCCTGGTCAAGGACCGGGTCGCGGGGACAATAAAGCCCTGAAATCATCTCAAGATAGCCTCAAGATAACCCCTAGGCCCGAGTCTCTTACTCCGCTTAAATCCTGCTGACACCGAAACCCTCAGACGTTTGGGAGCCGGAAGCAGGGCAGGAGGAGAATCGTGAACTACACCAACAAGGAAAGGACGAAGGGATGCGGACTGAACCAAGGTCGAACTGACCAACGCCCCCAAGTCCGGGGCCCTAAAACCAAAACTGGGCAGCCCCAGGACATTCGAGCGGGCAATCAACCAAGTGCATTGCTGCAACCTAAACCTAGCTTGCAATGTGCGAGCTGCTTGACCCCTAACCTCAGCTGCATCAGAATGGGTAAATTGGAGTACGAGCAGAGAAAAAGTTTTGCAAGACTCCGGTTCGAAGGTGTCATTGACCCAACAAGCAGCATGATGGAGGCAAAACAGGTGATCATCACCCTGAGATAGGACGCAATAAACTACCCTCAAACTCGCACAAGGAGAGATGGAGCTCAGAGGACACGTCCACTGGACAACTAAGCACTGATGGGGAGTTTCCATGGCCCGTAGGGGGTTGATGTGTCCCTATGGGAAGCCCAGGCACTGGTGCTGCAAATGCTGGTTGTAAACCCCCGTGTATTATCCAGACAAACTGGCCCCTGTCAGGTGAGCAACCTCGAAAGCCCAGGAGGAGGACTACCCTACTGACCCTAAGCATCACCTCACAGGCACCCTGGCAGCCTCCCAACAGGCAAAAGAAAATTAAAAGTAGGAAAGAGAACCCTGAGGAAGCACCACAACTCAGGGGACCAGAAAGAGTCCCAGCAGCCACGATTATGCAAGCTGGGCAGCACAGTGCACCCAAACCAGCAACAACCACTCCCTACAATGGGCCAAACGAAAGTACTGAGACCTACGCTGACCCTAAGGGCAAGGCAGAAATTCAAGCAGCTGCTACCTCTACTGGAATGGGGACCTGAAGGACCCAGAGAAGAGGACTCTGAACCCCAAAGGGTGTACTCACAGGGCACTTAAGGAAGGGCGCCCTAAGCGCATGCAGCTCTTGGTACGAACGCCTGGCCACTGCCAATGCACAGCAGGAACACCAGCAGGGTGAAGACAATCAAGCAATTGATTGTCTCCGGAAGTCCAGAGCAGACTTCCACCCCTTGTAGCTTCAGCCGACAAATTGATGGTCCAGCTGCCGATACTGTGGGCTGGGACCTCATCTCCCTCGGGGGCCTCGTAGCCTGGTGGATAGCGCGCAGGACTCGTAATTCTGTGGCGCGGGTTCGATTCCTGCACGAGGCAGAAACAAATGGGCAAAGTTTCTTTCACCCTGAATGCCCCTGTTACCTAGCAGTAAATAGGTACCTGGGTGTTAGTCATCTGTCACGGGCTGCTTCCTGGGGGTGAAGGCCTGGTCGAGGACTGGGCCGCGGGGACACTAAAGCCCCGAAATCATCTCAAGATAACCTCAAGATAACCCTCTACGGGGGGAGGTTGGCGCGAACGAGGGGCACACGGTGTGACGTGTTGCTTGTTAGCTTGTTTTTCTTTGGGGGAGTTTCTAGTCTCAGTTCAATCTCAGGTTGCAATGTTTCTAGCAGGAGGGGTCTGTTTTGAAGCGCCTACAGTTCTGGGTGCTCAACCCTGGTCGATGGCAGACATGAATACTTTCATACACGAGTTTCATAAGCCATTGCTCCCTTCACCTCTCTGAGGGGACTATGTTCTGGCTAGTGGTCGTCCCCATTAGGCATGACAACTCCATATGACTGAAGCCCTATACTAATATTAGCTAATATCAGTCTAATAGCTCCAGGGAGCTGACAGGGCTTCCCCACAGAAAAGATTACAGGTATTACCGTATCATGTATCCTGCTTATCCGTATTACCGTATCAAGGCCTATGTTGTATTACAACATAGGCCTTGACTGGCTACAAACATTAGCAATGCTTTCATATTACATTATACACAGCAAGCAGGACGCAGTTTGATCTCAACAATCGATTATATACTAGCTTAACTAGCACCAAGGATGAGTTTTTTATACAGTTTTTGAATGTGTTCTATAATATGAAGTATGAAAACAAATAAATTTTTATGAAATTAAGGCAGACACATTGTTAATTTGCAACACATTCACTTCATATTGATCCAGACATCAAGTTTCCACTGTACTGTATTTTGATATACAGTACACGCACTCATAGCATGTTGCAACATTTGGATACAGGTCATAGAGGCCTTGTGCTGCTTGGGTATGGGTAAACATTATTGCCCAAGCAGTGCAAATGAAAATTTGTTAGCCTGTATTTAAATAGAGCATAATTCTTCCCCATGAGGGACTGTTTCCAACATGTGCACAGTTCTCAAGTTTAGTGAAGGGGTAACTGTTCACATGGTCCTGACATTATCATCCAACTGCAAGTTCAAATACACAATTTCAATATGAGGGCATATTTTTTTTAATTTCCTGCCTAGTACAGCACATTACTGTCTTTGGTCTAGCTCTACACAAGTTCAATTTCAACAATAAACAAAGTTGACAAACTCACACACGTTGCTAGCTAGGCTGTCACTCCCTATTTTGTACAACACTCTTGGTATCATCCAACATCTTACACTTTAGTTCTTCACACAACTAATAAAATGCATTCCAGTACACACCTCATATTCAACTGGTGAATTTTTTTGTACTGGTGGTGATTTGATGATTTTCCCCTCTGGAAGAGTTATGTTACTAGATTCAATGATCATACCCTTTCTAGGATGTCTAATATATATGGTTTCACGTTCTTGTACCTCAGCTACCACACAGTTATCTGAAATGGCCAAATACAAAGTTGAAGAAAAGCATCTGCATGTAATACTTATCCAGTCACTTGCCAGTGAACACTTAGTACAGAACTCTGATTTATGATGACCAGTTACCAGCAAACTCAGCCTCCTACCATTATTTAAACTATTCCTTAAAACAGGTATCTTATCTTTCATTTTAAGAGTCAACATTATTAGTACCGTACGCTTCGTTCTTGACTCAAATCAGGAATCCTGGGGTTCAATTCTTGGGCAGGACCAAAATGGTTCTGAATGTTTCTTTTCTCCTAATGCACCTGGTCACCTAGCAGTAAATATGTAGCCAGACGTTTGGCAACAGTTGTGCGATTGCATCCTGGGGAAGATCAGCAGTTCAACCTGTGGGGGGGACCTCGACAAAAAGCCTAATGAATGAATGAATGTATGTCAGGTAATGTGGCCCTCAGGTAAATTCAGGTAAATATGTATATTTATGTATGTATGTATGTATGTATGTATGTATGTATTTACTATTTGTGTCTGCAGAATCGAGCAATTAGCTCTTGGACCCCGCCTTTTCTAACCAATCTATTTTCCTCTATTATATCTACTACATATATCTCTAACATACACACACACACACACACACACACACACACACACACACACACACACACACACACATGTTATGGAATGTGGAATAGGAGAACATAGACCCCACACAACCTATATATTATGTGAGAAATCTTTAAAGAATTCTGATAAAGAAAGAGATCTAGGAGTGGTTCTAGATAGAAAACTATCACCTGAGGACCACATTAAGAATATTGTGCAAGGAGCCTATGCAATGCTTTCTAACTTCAGAATTGCATTTAAATACATGGATGGCGATATACTAAAGAAATTGTTCATGACTTTTGTTAGGCCAAAGCTAGAATATGCAGCTGTTGTGTGGTGCCCATATCTTAAGAAGCACATCAACAAACTGGAAAAGGTGCAAAGACATGCTACTAAGTGGCTCCCAGAACTGAAGGGCAAGAGCTACGAGGAGAGGTTAGAAGCATTAAATATGCCAAAACTAGAAGACAGAAGAAAAAGAGGTGATATGATCACTACGTACAAAATAGTAACAGGAATTGATAAAATCGACAGGGAAGACTTCCTGAGACCTGGAACTTCAAGAACAAGAGGCCATAGATTTAAACTAGCTAAACACAGATGCCAAAGAAATATAAGAAAATTCACCTTCGCAAATAGAGTGGTAGACGGTTGGAACAAGTTAAGTGAGAAGGTGGTGGAGGCCAAGACCGTCAGTAGTTTCAAAGCGTTATATGACAAAGAGTGCTGGGAAGACGGGACACCACGAGCGTAGCTCTCATCCTGTAACTACACTTAGGTAATTACACTTAGGTAATTACACACACACACACACACACACACAGAACTAGGAAATAGGATTGGTTCGACAGAAATTGCAAGAGGGCCAGAGACCAAAAAGATACAAAAATGGAATCAATATAGGAAAAGGCCAAACCCCCAAACATACCAGCGAAACAAAGATGCAAGAAACAACTACACGGCAGTGAGGAGAGAGGCAGAAAGAAATTTGGAAAAAGGGATTGCGGACAAATGTAAAACAGAACCAGGTCTATTCTATAAATTCATTAACAATAAATTGCAGGTAAAGGATAATATTTGAAAAAATAATTAAAACTAGAATGGGTAGAACACCTGGAGAAAAATGATACAATATCAGACAGACAGTATGGTTTTCGATCTGGAAGATCCTGTGTATCGAATTTACTCAGTTTCTATGATAGAACCACAGAGATTTTACAGGAAAGAGATGGTTGGGTTGACTGCATCTATCTGGACCTAAAAATGGCTTTTGACAGAGTTCCACATAAGAGGTTGTTCTGGAAACTGGAATGCATTGGAGGGGTGACAGGTAAGCTACTATCATGGATGAAAAATTTTCTGACTGATAGAAAAATGAGGGCCGTAATAAGAGGAAGTGTATCGGACTGGGGAAACGTCACAAGCGGAGTACCTCAGGGTTCAGTTTTTGCACTGGTAATGTTTACTGTCTACATAAACGATATACCAGATAGAATACAGAATTATATGAACGTGCTTGCTGATGATGCTAAGATAAGAGGGAAGATAAGAAACCTAGATGAGTGTCATGCCCTTCAAGAAAACCTAGACAAAATAAGTATATGGAGCCACTTGGCAAATGGAATTTAATGAGAATAAATGCCATGATGTGGAATTGGAGAACATAGACCCCACACAACCTATAAATTATGTGAGAAATCTTTAAAGAATTCTGAAAAAGAAAGGGATCTAGGGGTGTTCTAGATAGAAAACTGTCACCTAAGGACCACATTAAGAACATTGTGCGAGGAGCCTATGCTACACTTTCTAACTTCAGAATTGCTTTTAAATATATGGATGGAGAAATACTAAAGAAATTGTTCACGACTTTTGTTAGACCAAAGCTGGAATATGCTGTGGTTGTATGGTGCCCATATCTTAAGAAGCACATCAACAAACTGGAAAAGATTTTATTTATTTATTTATTTATTTATTTATATACAAGAAGGTACATTGGGTTTGTGAGAATAGCATGGTATTTACAATCTTGTAAAGCCACTAGTATGCGCAGCATTTCGGGCAGGTCCTTAATCTAACAGGTAATTTTAAGTAGGTAAATTCTAGCAGAATTAAAAAAATTATAACAGATACATTGCAAGAAAGAAAAAAATGAGATGAGAGAGATTAGTAGGTATATTAAAGCACATATTAAAGCTCTGAATGATGCAGTGACAGCTTGATTGGTAATTTAAACGAAGATTAACCCTTCAATTGTGCATCGCATCATATGATGCTTTGCCCGACTTGCAGTAAATTGCGCATCGCATCATATGATGCGCGGGCATACCGCGCACGACTTGAAAGGCCCGCGGGGTAGAGGGGGTCCCCATACGCTACCCAGGGGCTATAGTAAACAGCCGCCATTTTGTAAAAAAATCCAGCTCATGCTACCATCGCTTGGGAGGCCTCAGTTACCCAGCAGCCACCATGTCGAGCACACGGCCGAACGCTTCCCGGGCACGCCCCACGCAATCACTCGCCCAAGAGCAAATAACCAGTGAATTATTTTCCGATGGTGAGGAAAGTGACTTTGATGACTCTGATATTGATAAAGACTACACACAATTGACCAATGTTGATAGCACGGACAGTGAATATGAGATACAGCCGCCTCCCATGGCGAGGCCTATATGCTCAGCCATGCCGCCTCGCCCAGTATCTACCCCAATTCTCCCTCGACCACACAGTTCCTGTGATTATTTAGAGTCTGAGGATATTTTCAGTGACGAGTCAGAGGAAGGTGACTCTTTTTCTGGTTTTAGTGAAGTGGAATCAGAACATAGTGTTACCGAGCCTGGTGCCAGTACCAGTGGTGTTACTGGGCGAGATTTTGTCGCGTCAGCAGCGTCTCGCCCAGCCAAGCGCCACCGCATGGAACAACATGTGGCGCCAAGCGCCACTACATGGAACAACATGTGGCACCAAGAGCCTCATGTTCACGTGCCTGTACCTCACGTGCACGTAGCGGCCGTACTGTGCGTAGACGGGCTTCAGCTCCTGGTCCACAGGGTGCATCGCTTCCTCGCCGTAGTGCCCCTGCTGCGTCCCCTGCGTCTCGCAGGACACCAGGTGTACTAGTGTGGAGTGATGGTGCTGGTTTTATTCCCCGAATTCCTGCCTTTGACAATAAAGACGTTGGGATTACAGATCTTTTCCCTTATAATGGTGATGATATGAGTGAATGTGATTATTTTACCGCATTCTATGATAAGCCACTCAATGAAATATATTGTACACCAAACGAACCTTCATGCGGCTCATCTCGTTAGAAAAGAGATAACAGAATTTTCACGCTTGCAACGTTGGAAAAACACCAATATAGGTGAAATGTATGTGTTTCTTGCAATATGTATGTTGATGAAACACTGTGTCAAACACGCTCTCACAGATTACTGGAGCAAAGATCTGACTATTCCAACACCTTTCTTCGGGAAATATATGTCCAGAGACAGATTTCAGATATTCCTCAGGTGTGTGCATTTTGCAACTAATGAGGACTGGATTGATGAGGATAGACTTTGGCGAGTGAGGCACTATATGAATGAGGTGATTGGAAAATTCAGAGATTTTTACTTACCAGCACAGAAGCTGGTGATTGACGAATCCCGTATACTATTCAAAGGACGTGTTTCATTCAAACAGTATATTCCCTCCAAATGAAACAGATTTGGATCGAAATTCTTTGTACAGTACTGTGTGACTGTGAAACAGGATACGTGTTACACATGATTCTGTATTCAGCTAGTGATGTAGACATTCCCAGTAACGATGAACATGGTTTCTCTGGTAGTGTGGTGAAGTCAGTGATGGCACCATGGATGAACAAGGGCCACATCCTATATACAGATAATTACTATACACGTCTATTGCTAGCCAAGTTCTTGATTGAAAATAGAACCGGGTTGGTTGGCACAGTAAAGCCACGAAGAAGGGAAATGCCAGTGTTTGTCGGTGGACTTGCAGTTGGTGAGTGCCAGGTACAGAAATGTGATGAAATACTCTCAGTACGGTGGAAAGACAAGAGAGAAGTGAACCTGCTGACAACCGTTCATGAGAGTACAATGTTAAACAGTGGCAAGGTGCACCGTGTAACGAGAGAACCAGTATATAAGCCAGATTGTGCTCTTGACTACAATATCAACATGCGTTTGATTGATAAGGCTGACATGATGATTGGCACTATTGAGTGTGTGCGGAAAACATTGAGGTGAACGAAAAAAAGTGTTTTTCCATCTTGTTGACATGAGCATGTTGAACTGATATAATTTGTACCTGGTGAAAACTGGACGTAAACCTGTTTTCCGTTCATTTGCTTCTACACTTGCAACACAGTTATTAGCACAGTTTGTCAAGAAGTCCCTGGCATATG